CATTGTCTTTAAAGACGAAAAGAATTGGAAGTTAAAGAATTTTTCACGCCTCTTCATTATTCCTCAAAGAAATGAAAATTATTTATTCATAAACAAAAATCCTTAAACAAAGAGTTCACAGTCTTGAGATCCAGTAATAGAAATGTTATCCTCAGATCGACCTAATCAGTGGAAATAGATATGCATAATTAACAGACTAAATATAATATAAAAGTCCCTCTTCTGTGTCCCGGGTTCGGCGAACCCGATCCGAAAAAAAAATAATTCTGTTATTATATCTAATGTAATCATGAAATACAATTATCTATAGATCTTCCTGACTCATAAGTGTTAATCACATTGTAGGATTTCATATTCATAAAGTTTTCCAATTCAAATGGAAATTGTGCGGAATCGCCTTAAATTTTCCAATATCAGAAGCAGCGCTAGCAATTTCCCAAGACTGGCAGACCAGAAAATGCTTAGAACAAATGACAATTTTATCTGTGACCATAATTTTTCTTCGGAATCAAATTGGAACTTTCGTTTTCGCTCTCCATCAGTCTCGACTTGACAAGTTCTTCAAATAAATTTATTTCTATTTTTGTTGACACGTCACGATATCTAACTGAACTGAAAAAACACTAGACATTCAAAGACAGAGCCTCTGTATTTAAGCTGAAGCAATATATATACATTTACATTGTTACTTCGTATTAAATAATATAATTATATTTTCTACATGTTTATAAGTGTTATGTATAGTTTTTATATGTCAGGAAGAACAGTCAAATTAAAGTATCGAATTCAAGGTTCATAACTGCGTTTCTGTTAGATCAACTGTTCCAGTTTAATTTATTCACGTAAATATATAATTCTAAGACGGTGGAATAGAATATTATACTGACATAACTATACATGTATATCTTTCTCTCGATTCAGAAATATCTATATCATGACTATGTATAATTTGCAGTCGGCCTGCATGGCCAAAACAAAATATTAACCTTCATGTTTTTTTTCTAAATTAAATATATTTTTTCCAGCACAGTTAGCATTAAAATTTTCGAAAAGCCAATGGATACACAAATGTACAAATGTGTATTCTACTATGGTGACATATTTCTGCCCCCTACATGCAAGATAAATTATGTCAACATACCTGAAAAATATCAACATGCACTTGAAGATAATTATGTTAACATGCAAGAGAATTATGTTAACATGCAAGTTACCAATCTTATCAAAGAATAGTAATTTTAATGACATCGCATGTTAAGATAATTTATCTTGCATGTAGGGGGCAGATATATGCTATAAGTATGTTTGTTTCGCTGTACACAGAAATTTTAACCTTGCCGATTAAGTGGATTTTAATCGGTTAGATGTTCATACTTAATATGTACATATGTAATTTTGGTGACAAGTCTTTTCTTTGGATACCAACGTATTTAACCTTGGATTTTGACCCAGGTTTAACGAAACTTTACTAATCTTTAATATCGTACATGTATTTCTATGTAAAATTTTGATCCTCTACACCTGTTGTGCCCCCGCTCTAAAATAATAAGACAAGATGTAGAATTTTTTTTTTACTCTGAGAAAAATGTCTTTCTTGAATTACATAATTATTGATTTTTTAAAAATATTTTTTTTTTCATATTTCAACCCAGGGGATTCTTTAAAAAAAGTATTGCAAAAACTAAATATTGACACCTGAGAACAATTATGTACGTCATCAAAGTTTATCGAACACTTTCTTCATATGTATACCGGTATGACGTAGTCTATGAATGAAAGTAAATCCTGTAATAAATTATATGTATACGCATGTATATGTTCGGTTACTGATTTATCTTGTACAAAAACTGTCAGACTAAACCTTTGAATAAAGGACAAGAGAATTTCCGGTATCAACGACTTTCGATAAACAAGAATTGTCCGCCATACTTACATGTAATTGACAAACGTATAATTTGCTGCATTTATGTTCTTAAGTACGAAAGGGTCACAACATCAGTGCATAAAACAATTAGTGACCAAAGTATTTCTCAGAACGTAAAATCATAGTTTGGAGGGACATATCAATAAAACAGCTGCTTCTTTTCATCGAAGATTATCTCTGTTCATTTTGCAATTTTGCCATCTATAAGAGATTTTGTTTGAAGATGATTTTGCCAATGACAAGGAAAATGTCTTGCCAATATGCTCCAATTGTATATTAAACAAATCCCCTAGACTTCAATATGTGCTTAATCAAGAACAATAAGCAAGAACGGAAATTTATATGCATGCACCTGAGGAAGATACGTCCACCTTTTGTTTTGCCTCTTCGATCTGTGTCTCTGACCGATTGACTTACTGTGCAGAATAAAGAGGATCTATATCTTACAATGATATGTTTAATACTTGAACTTCTAATTTTAGTGTGTATTCCTTGCAGATTGTTGTTTTTCTTCTTAGGACAAATTCTCGCGAGATTTAACGGGATTGTGTTACGACATGTTATTTCCTTGGATACTCCCAAGTCTCGTCCCGCACGCATTTATAACCATGCAACATATATGACTGGTCACACTTAGTATCCCCCGAGAATATTAAAGCCAAGTCGATTATCATTGAATTAATGGTAACAATTTTCTGAGGACAGTCTTTCAATTAGCCATTGACGATATAGTGATAGTTCAGATAATTCGATAAAATTATAGGAACAATACACTTGTCAATCAAAAACAAAGAAATTATTAGTTGAAAAATTGTCACAAAGAAAAACATAAAAAGAAAATCATAAATTTATCAAAATGATTGTTATTAAATTTCGGACCGTTCGTCGAAACTTTGGAATAAGTTCAAAGACAAATGCAAAAATCTGACCAAACTTGGACAAAGATTGATAAATTATTTATATGGTAATCATGCATGAAGAGTGGTCAATGGAAATTTTAATTGTTCGATAAGGACCTAATTTTGAGTGCTAAATTGCTTTACGTTAGGGTCTGATAGTCGTGTATACACCATGTCCTCTCTTGTGTTTCATTATGTAGCCTAAAACTAAAAGAAAATCAATAGAGTTTGAATATTTGACGACTCTTTTAACTTTATATGCCTTAAAAAGCTAGCTTAAAACCATAAAAGACATGTTGGCGTTTTATTAGTCCATAAGACAGCGCAACATAACACAGAATCTTACACTTAGCAATAACTTCCGGCCTTGCACCTTAAAAAAAATCTTGCTTCTTGAAACAAAGTATAATGTGTTGTATTAGCAATTTGCAAAGCATGCGCTATAACAAGGCGTCTACATATGACTTTCATTAGGATTCAATAGGGATCCCGCTTAAAGTGATCATCAAAGGGGGGAATATTTCCACAAAGTTGGCGGTGTCCAGCGACGCGTTCCAGCTGATTTCCTATCCGTGTAGACACATAATGCAAGAGTCGTGTCGCGAATACATTAAGGACAGCAGGGTGGTCTGTCTTTTACTATAAAAGCATCTCATAATACAGCCATGCTGATCACTGGTATAGAGCTATTTTTATGTACGAGTAGCCATGTATAGTCTTTAATCATAACATAAATTTTAACTTGATTATATTTTGATACTATATACCCTCAAGCTGTTTATGATGTAAAAAATGATTGTTCTCAAAAAATTTGTAAACAGTATAAATATGTGAAGAGGTCATAAATACGGACTACTGGAAATTCCAGTGGTAGGATCAGGTCCTTAAGGGGAGTAAGCATCCCCCATTGATTAGTCACACCGTCTGTGAGCCCTGTATATTGATAAGGTGGATGGGACTTCCCATATTAGTCAATTCAGTATAAAGCGAAGGCCAAACAATTGGTATGAAACAAGTCAGTCACAACACGACCCAATGATAAGTTATATTAAATTAATGTTGTTTTTTTGAAAGTAGGTCGAACTTCAAGGTCTTGGGGTCAAAAACCACAGTATATTTGGAAAGATCTTATTACAGCCTTACAGGTAATGTTCATGTGAAAGCCCTGTCTCTTCTCATTAAAAAGTTATGAGCAAGGTTAAAGTTTTTCTTGACAGACAAACAGACAAATGAGATTGAATGCCCCTTCGCTTTCGATTAAATTGGTCGTACCTTTTGAAAGAGAAAAAACACAGGACTTTCATATACATGAATATTACCTGTGACAATACCTTTTGAAATACACTATGATTTTTGACCCCAGGACCTTGAAGTTTGATCCACTTTTTAAAATGATATCTCTCCTTATAACTTTTGATTGAGAAGAGATAGGGCTTCATATTCAAATTTGACTTTTGCATTACCTGTGACAATATGTTTCCGATGCTTTAACCTAATTTTCGAAAATTTTATCTTTGGTGAATACTTTAGAATCATATATGATAGGGCGTTTTATTTGACACAATATGCCATTAAAATGGCATTCCATCCACTAAGACCACAAAAGAGGAGGACCATATTTCTTTTAATTTGCTTGTTTTTCATTCCTATTCTCAGATCTAAATTTATCTCCAGTGTATAGAGTTCCTAAAGGTTGATCAGGACACAACTGTGACAAACAATCATGACAAGGGCATAAGGAAGACATATTTACAAAGATATTTAGATCCTTTTCGTGTAAGATATGATTTATAAGTTAACTTGTTCCACCAGATCCCTGGAATATTTTTCATTTTTGTGATATTTTCTGAACCTTGATAATCTCCTTTCTTGGAGTTTAATGGAAAGAATTTCTAAAAGAACGATATTTTTTCCCCTTTCTGGTTATGGAATTATTAGGAAATTCAATCCTAGCAGAGGATAGTAAACTAGCGAAGAAACCATTGCTGAAGTGTCAATATGATCGATGTCTTGTACAATCTAGTACAGATATAATTGCTTCACATCATATATGAGTTGACTGTGTCGATTGACACCTCGAAGTGAAAACATTCCCATTTTCACGCCATATTTTCTAATAAATTTGCAAAATCGATGAATTGGATAAATATCCCACTGACGTGATTGAGAGAGTGGGGCAGAATTATTTTTAACTTTATTAAGAAAACGAATGCATTCAACATTGCTTTGGACACAGATGCATCTGATCAAAATTGTCAAAATATCAACCAGATTACTGGTTATGCAAATTAACTGAACATTTCGAATAAATATTATGTATACATTTTAATAAATACAACAATCGGACAAACTTCAAACAAAATATGTTTGGTCCAGTTTTCCTTCACACTCGAATACACCTACACACTATTAATATCACAATTTCGTCAAAGTTGCGTTTCCGAGGAGTTTAAAACTGGTTCACTTTCGGCCGAGTCTGTGGGGTGACCATTCGCAATTCCGTTGCACATGCGCACCGTAACTTCCTTTTTATGCTTAACACTTCCAGTTCGAACAGTTGTATATTCAGTTGTTGAATTATTTGTGAGTTTTACTTTCAACCCACCGATTAATGGCCGCATAAGTTTTTTGAACTCCTGTCGAAAAATTTTGCCTGTCAGCATGTAAATGTAAAAGTTTCCTGCATAATGAGTCAAACCTATTTCTTCGATAATAGTTTTGGCCCAATAGTACTGAAAATGCGACTTCCATTTGTCAGTTATAGTTGGCAATACGCTTAATTCATCAGGAGGAAACGAATAGTACAAAGTTACGACAATGGTCACCGGAAGTGTCGTAAAAATTTGGTAAAAAGAGACCGCCAGTAACATAACTGTCGTTGCAGAATTTCGATGAGTACGTGTATGTAACGTGCTTTGTTCAAAATTTGAAAGTCTTTTCGCTTCCACAATGACATGAATATTGAAATACAGGATCGCCAGCGGCACTAACAGAAACACAAACGCTTCCACACACCAGGTCCATATGGTCCAGAAAGAAGATGTTCCGTTTTCGATCACTGAATTTCGGAGAAGGCAAGTTTTGTTGTCAGAGTCATAAGACCAGAAAAAGCCTTGGATACTATTAATGCATAAACAGCCAATGGTTGTAGAAATAATTACAATTTTAGCATTTTTTGTAGTACACCACGCTTCCCTTTTGAATGGGTGACAGATACTTATGTATCTCTCCACTGTAAAAGACAACACGAGGATCGGAGAGAGATATTGGGAGGTCAAGAAAATAATGGGGTAAAATTCACAAACAAATGGTAAATCCAGACACTTTACATCCCATTTTTCATTGAGCTCATACACAACTTGCAGAGACAAAAACAAAAGATCAACAAGGGCCAAAGCAGCAAGGTAATATCCAGAGGAGTTCCGCATGCGACGCTGAAGCCATATGATAAGAGAAAAGATATTCCCGGGAAATCCGATGACGTATGTGTATGGGGTGACGTATTTGTCGACCGCCACTGCCTCGGGACAGAACTTGGGATAGATATTGAGGTAGGTGTACTCTAGACCACTGGTGGATGCATTATAGAGAGGCGTGGTAAAGTTATCTTCACTGAAAGCCGCCTGTGTCTCCATGGTCGTCTTCAAAAAAAAAAAGGGGAAAAAAACATTAGAACATTGAAAATTTGGTCATTCCTATATAAGCATTTCAGTGTTTTATACTACAGAATAGATGTGCACAGTGATAGAGTAAAGAGTTTAACTGTTATTCATTTCTGCTGATAATTCTGCACTTAGTGAAATTATATTTACATGTATCTGAAAACAAAGATTAAATGTTTTCTCTTACAATCGTAGATCTTTTTTTTTAATTATTTTTTAAAGATACTATACATATTAGAATTACGAGTACATTAACTGCATAAATCTAATACATCGTACCCCAAATACGTAGAATACACACGTTCAAAAATCAATTTAAAACGTCAGACAACAGGGAAATAAAGTGGTATTTCTTTTATTTTATCGAAACGTGCAATTCCTTACGCAACACATTTTGCAGTTATCCAGACCACACGCTATGTTTACAATGGTTTTAGCCTCTCAATTAGTCTGGAATGGGTTAACATGTTAAGAGCGCTTTATTTAGATTTCAGTTTTAACTTCAAGAATTGCGCTGCACACTATGTAGTCTAAACAGATTTCTATCTCTTGCCCAGAACCATACTGAAGACAGTGCAACTATATTCATTAATACATGTGAGATACTAGTAATTAATTGAACTTTTCATACAGAAACGATCTGTGATATAATAATTTTACATGCAATATTCCAATAAATCTGTCACTCTTTAATTAAGAAAAAAATCATGGACAACAGCATCGTGAAAGGTCAAGCTCATGGAAAAAGGTCATTATGAATTATTCATAAGAATAATCATGACAGGGGCTTGATGTCCATCCCTTAAAAAAGCAGAATAACTTATTTAGTGATTTTGTTAATACAGTGTAAGCCCCCCCCCCCCTTTTAAAAAGAAATTGCAAAACCTTAACAATATTTAAGGTTTGGTAATGATTTTTGAAATATAACTGTTGAGTCTATACAAGATCCCCTGAAACCTTGGAATGATGTGATCCAGAGTCAATCTAGAATTCAATGATATTCTAAAAGTCGAAACCTAGCTGCCATTAATCCTGGGGAATTTTTTTTGTGTCTAGAAATGACACTACTGGTCATGTTCCATTAATCATAAATGCTATCACATTCTTAAACTAGGGCTAATTGTAACGGGGACCGTTACAGATGTTCCCCAAACGCTCCCCAACTCCCTTTTGTGCCATTTTTCCTGTAAGCTTCATTAAATAAGACAAACGCGTAACATTTTTGATTTTTAAAAAGTTTTCCCAGAAGTAATCAATTTCAGCATTGCACGCATGCGCACTTGAATGCATGTGCGCAATGATCATATCATCTTGTCTACACTATTCATATATTTTAATATACTGAATATTACAGCATTTAATTCAAAAATATGTTTAATCTAGTGTATTTGTAATTTTACTCATTTCACGTGCACGCACGTGCATGCATGTGCATCATGACCATACCCTTTTGTAGGAGTCTATAATGTCTATCTATGTTCTGAATCCCATCCTGTTCGGTTGAAAACCAAGGGAGTTATAGCCATTTAAAGTTTAAGCCAATCAGATTGCAGCGCACGTGCATGCGCGTGATTTGATGAAAATTATTATATATCATATTGTAGGATATCCTAAAGCATGCCTTTATTTTAAATTTCAAAGCATTTTGTCAAAAAAAAAAAAGATATTGAGAATTTTGTTTCAGCCAATCAGAGCGAAGCGCACGTTCTTGCACGTGCAAGCATGTTCATGATGACCATACCTTCTTCTAGGAGTCCATTATGTCTGTCTATGTTCTAAATCCCATGCTGTTTGGTTGAAAAAAAAGGGAGTTATGGCCATTCAAAGTTTAAGCCAATCAAATTGCAGCGCACGTGCATGCGCGTAATTTCATGACAATTTCTATATATCATATAGTAGAACATCCTAAAATATGCCTATGTTTTAAATTTCATAGCATTTCGTCAAAAAACAGAAAAGATATTGAGATTTTTGTTTCAGCCAATCAGAGCGAAGTGCACGTGCATGCGCGTGCGTTCGTGCTAATTTAACAGTGTAACATTATCTACACTATTAACATATCTTTATATAATGAGTTTCAAATCATTTCATTAAAAAATGTAAAAGTTATAGCTATATTAAGTATACAAGTCATTTCACGTGTTGCACGCGCACGCACGTGCATGCGTATGCGCGCAAAATGACCTTCGTTCCGCACACCTACACTACACACCCATTAACCCTTAAGGGGGGACCTATGTCGTTCTACGTCAAGGCAGCGTTATGTAACGTCACAATAGCGACGTTTGTTTTTACCTGTTGACTTTTGCAACTGTGATATAGGCATAACATTGTTAATAATCAATAACGTACAAAATTTACAAAAAGGAAAATTTGTTCATCATTAATCACAGTTTTATTTGATTTATGGAGTTTGTTAATATTAGAATTCTCTTCCTTTGGTTGATAATTCATAGCAATTTCTGTTGTGAAAAAATACCCCGATAATATGCTGATATAATTGTGCAAAAAAGAGATAAAATTCAGGAAAGAAAGCGGCTTCAATCAGGGGAAAATGTTTAATTTTATAATTACCATTAATCGATTTTCTGGAGAAAACTAAGAAAAAAATTAAGAAATGTACTTGTACGGGTGTATATTTGCTTATTGATTTATATAGTACATGTAGATTTTATTGTATAAAGTCATTCCTAGGTTCTAATAGGCATTGGTTGTTAACGGGGAAATGAGGGGGGGGGAGAGAGAGAGAGAGAGAGAGAGAGAGAAACAGAATGAATGGAATGTAGAATTTTTTTATCTATTTAAATTGTTTCTAATCAAAACAAAATACTCGTTTTCCGCAAAATAGTTTTATATTCAGGTGTTTGTCAGTGCTTACTTACCCTTTTTTAGTGCAAAAAGGTCAATATTCATGACACAAGAGTACGAAAATAAAAGGAAACGTCATATTTCTCGTTTATTTTATCATAAAGGTATACTTTTTTCTTTGTTGAAATAAAGAGATGAATCATTTCTTTCAAAAATATGAATTACAAAATTTTCTCACAAAGACTTTTTAAGATATTACCTGTTATGCATGTCGGAATTGTAAAAAATACGACAAGAAAAATGGGGTAATACTTACATTGTGCTCCATTATAATTTTTCATGCGAGATGGATTTCAATGAATTTGCCTCCATTTTAAAGATACAAGTCATATAAATTAAATAAGTGTTGATTTTGAATATGATCTGACATTTTTGGTTCTTTTTAGCACATATTTGGGGTAGAACAATAATGACTGAAAATAATCTATTTTTAGCATTTCATACTGTTTTTGCACGTGCTCCTGTGTAAAAATAAGCATATAAAGGTATTGTTTTTCATACCTAAAAATTAAGAGCAAGTGGTCAGGAAAGAAATGTCAAAGTTTTGAAAATTTCACACAAAAAAATTTTCGGACATAGGTCCCCCCTTAAAAGGTTTTAGGTCAGTTGGGTGAATAGTTTCTGAGAACACTCGCGGACAAAAAAGTACCGGAGAACAAAGAAGAAAAAAAAGAATAATAATAATAATAATAATAATAATAAGAAGAAGAAGAAGAAACCGAGTAAAAACAATATGTTCCCAAACTCCGTTTGGGGAACATAACTAACGAGTTACAGCATTGAATCGCTGCAAGACAGGCCACACTTGTAAATATTTGCCAATTAACGAAAGAAAAATTCGCATCTTTTTTGCGTGGCTCGCGCTCCAAGCAATTCCTTTCTTTGCAAATAAAAAAAGTCATCTTTCTTTTTTACCCGAGAAGAATGCTTTCAATTACTGACACATTGAAATAAAAAATAAACAGATATGCTGCATTAATGATTTTGCAATGAATATCTGGACTTTGAACATTATTGATTAAAGCATAAAGAGATAAACTGATAAAAACCCGCTCTGAATTGCGTAAGGATCTAGCATGGGAAATGTACCATTAGGCAGTGATTAAGACGCTACAATCCACGGGTCAGTTGTATTCCGTTTTAACAAGCTCCTGGAATGTGAGTACATTTTCAAGGTAATTGGCATAGACCAGGAACACAGAGAAACAAAGTATTCAATTCCCTGATTTCTTATTCCACGTGTTCATTCGTGGTTAGCCTCCAAGACATGGATCTATGACATAATGAGTATAGAGAGGTTCCGAGTTGCCGATAAGGAAATCTATCTTAACAGTCAAAAACAGATGATACAAACCAACTTGTATCAAAACATTTGAAAATTACAAGTTATGTTTATATAAGTAAAATGAACATTCAAGTTTAGCAGCATAGTTTTCAATTTTTCATTCAAAATTTTGCAATAATTGGATTTGAAGTAACAATTTTAATGATTAATAAGGATGGTTGCCGGAAGGTAGAATTTTGAATATCATAGAAGGTTTACAATGTCGTAATATTGTAGAAATTTATTTTTTGCATCATTAACAACTTAATTATGCCCGAAAATATATACAAATCCAGGCATCCATTTTTTTTTATATCACCTGTCCTTAAAGTTGATTTTCCTCCCAATGTTTCTATTTTATTTTATTTTCTCACGTTTAAAGGTTAACCAAGGGGTACAGGATAAACAGATTGAAGATTTTTGTATTCAATAACATTTCTAGAATTTGATATAAATAATTCTGTCATTATTAATCTTAATTCATCTTTACTTCCCAGGCAGTTTCATCTGCTTGATTATGAAAATCGTTGTGTACTTTTATGAGGTTTCTTAAAGGAATCGCCATGCACCAATTCAGAATAGCTTGAACAAATCACAGATTATAAATTCATTATTTAAAAAAAAGCATAATCTTAAAGATGTCGACAAATGTAAGAGTCATGTGATTTAGTGATCAACCTCAGGTTAGTTGTTGCAAGTCAAGAACAATGAGTTAATTACATGCATGCAACAATTCAAATACATATTAATCTTAATTTCTCTTGAAAATAAAGCAGTAAAATAATGGGAATACTAGTAAAGAATTTTTCCACCGTGTGAAAATTCAAAAATATTTTCAATGTACCATTTCATTATATTAAAATGACCATTAAAAAAATCAACAAAAAATAAATAAATTTAATCACGTTTTTAAATATTAAAAAAAATCGGTTTTTTTTTATTTCAATCGATCTCTGTTTAAATAATAAATATTTACGAAATAAATTTTACGATTTATAAATCGTAGATCAACATTGATCAAGATTGAAAAAAGTTAAATCGTGATTATTTGCCTGGGGCTTTGAATGGACTCTTACAGTTTAGTTACAAGCTAAATTTACTCTTCTTAATACAAATGCCAATCAATGTATTCTTAAATGCTAATCAAGATATGCGAAACCGTTTATGCAGTCGAAAATTCAAAGATGTATGAAGTGATTACAATTAAAACACCATTTACCTTACTTTTGCAAAATGCACTCTTGACACTACTCCAATAAAACAACTTTCTCTTAAACGATTAAAAAAAAACACACCTTGTTCACTCAGGTAGGCAAAATCCAGATATTAAAAGATTCTATCAAAATTTTATCAGTTTACATCTTGGTCCACGAACAGCCTTAGATTGAACTAACAAGCGTACCGTATTCACACTGGCTTAATGTCCTAAGGTTAAGTTCTCAGAAGCACAAAGAGGTTGTTTGGTAATATTTTTCGCACATTACCAGCTGGAACTCTCGTACGATACTCTATTGTTATTATGCTTAATGTATTATGATATCCGAAATCGAGTATGACATCCATCCATTAAGCACCGATTGCAGCGCCGACTACATTCTGCACCTCGATCTGTTAAGGGGCCTTTGGGATTTTTTGGTCATTCGATGAGAACAGAGTTCAAAATGTACAGGTACAACGGTAAGCTTAAAACATTTCTGGTTATTTCACTCTGATCCACTCACAAGTGAAGAACATTGTTTCTTATAGACGCTGTATGTCCTATACAAAAGTCGAAGGTTCTCTAGAATATTCAAACATAATTCAACAACAATAACAAAGTAAAACTTTTGCTAGATGAATACAGGGGCCCAGGAAATCATTGCATCGTTGTTAAGATTCCTAACACCCCGTCTGAGATTTTTTAAACGGATGATGGAACCGTCTGGCATGCGAACGCCGTCATCTCTATATCTTGTTTGACTGACCGTCAGACGGCCGAGCCTATCACCGTTGATGCCAAAGATAAGACTCTCCGGGTTGTTTTTGTTTTCTTTTCAACAACCTTATCTTAAGCTCAGTGTAATTTTTCTCGTGTTAAGAAAGCGAAAAAAATAGATATCAAATAATATCGTAGTCGATATACTTACATGATAATGATGGCTAAACTCTTAACCCAATAAATCCATCTTTTCAGATAAGTGTCAACTTATTATCCGTTATAATCTGATTTTTATGTAGACAGGAAAAATTATACAACAAAGTGATCCTTCCACCAACGTAAACATAGGAGAATTGATCACAGCAATAGTTCGTCACTGACATAACGTACTTGAATGCGATGCGCGTCAATGGAAATCGAGCAAGCGCCCCACTATATGCATACGAGATTTAGAATCACAGCTAATAATATACCTGGATACTTTTCACTGTCCTGTTTATAAATCACATGTACTTTTTTTATATCTTTATAATGGAAAACATTGTATTCTGTATATGAGTAGATAACGTGCAGGTTGGTCACTAATCTAGTGATTGTAGGAAATTCGATTCCCCCTCTTACTTTTGACTTAAATGGGCCTAAATTACTACCTTTGTGGTATACATGATTATAGTCCGAAGGGTGCGATGAGGGTTGTTCCGACCGAGTGGTCTGCCAAAATTACGCCCATTGTCTCTCCAGCAGGAAACAATATAGACACATTGTAATACGCAATTTTCTGTAGATATACCTCGAAGCTAAATTATGGATTAATTTCACTTATAATATTTACAATTTTATTTCAGAATTTTTTGAACTGAAAATTGTGCTATGGCTAGGATTTATATTAATTAATTTCTTTCGAATTTTAAAATTAGGTAAAACTGAACACAATTATATAAAGTAAAAATATCATTGCTGAAGTTGTTATCATGACGTGGAAATAAATCTTACAATATAAGCCTCTAAAAACGTTATATAGAACATAAAGAAATTTAAAAAAAATCTTCATTGCTTTAAGTGAAAGATTTTTACAATCATGACATAGAGTGCATCTTAACTAAATTTTGTCCATTGATTGATCATAAAAGATTCTGAAAAATAGTAGATAATGACATATTCGTTCAGGAATTAACATTCACTAAAAAGTCCATTTACAAACAATCCCAAATTTCTAAGCGAATCGTATTTTTCCACCGAAATTGTGATTATTTGGTCGTTTTTACGGACAGTATGTTCATTTCTAAACCTCATTTCAGATAAACATTTTTGTTTCACCACAAGGGGGTTAAGACCATCGAAACAATATGTCGTGAACAATCAATTAAATGAATCAATTAATGGTTTCGATGAACAATACAAAAACTAATAATACATTTGGCAGTGCTATGGGCATAGTGTGATGTATTGCTTTAGCGAGACATTACTTTCTCTTCGTATTGTAACAAATCTCCGGTTCCAGATGCTGAAACATTGGAGCAAGCCAAATCAATACGAGAGGTTATAAATCTGGGACAAATTTATTGCATTCCTGCCTGGCGGTCGGTTTGTCGTGACCTAGAGGTTTAGGACCAATCAGTCGGGACACGAACTTTTCGAGGAACCCGGAACTTTGATTTATAACAGCTCAGATATAGATCCAACTTTCTAACAATGCGATATCAAATTCGGTGTTTTTTCCTATCGCAACAAAGAAGGTTAAAGTGGTCCAGGCGTCTTTACCTATCACTGATAGCGCCATCTCACGCTGCATTGGTCCATTTATTTCCGCGGGGGATTATTTTGTTTGATATATTTCTACGCTTCATAGAGATTCAAAAGATTTTTATTCACTTATTAAATTATTGATAAATATTATTTGGTTGGATACAACGTAGGGAAATGTTCAAGTTGCCATACATTTATATGTGCTCGCACCTGCTTTGCATTTCAACTGATGAGTATATTAACAATGTCTATAAATCGTAGAGATCCCAACTGCTAATGAGGTTTTTCAAGACAAATGATAAGGAAAAATGCATTTTATCAGATTTCTTTACCGTGTGTAGGCAGTTCATAAAACTATTCTTACCTATGTTCTAATTCTTGCATCAAGATTTCTAGCAACTACTTCAACATGTACACAAATTGGAAATCGATTTAGCATACTTGTCTATTTCATATCTTTGTTTTTAGCGAGAGGGCATACTGGTACACGCTCTGTTAACATCCAATAATAGGTAATTAACATTTCCTAATTACTCAGTAATACACCGTCGTGAATTAAGAAACAACTATTAACATATTAAAAACAAATATGTATACTTCACGACAGGTCAGCCACAAATATTCGTCTTCCTCAGTCCTATCTTAGTTAATTTTTTGCCTGTATTTACACGCAGCACGCTTCCGTATTGTTATGGATTACTATACTATTACTTAGTATATATTACGTTACATATTATTACGAACCGTGCTGATTACACGATTGTAGTGTACAAGGATTACACGTGTACTGCATGGTCATTATTGATTTATTATCCCCAACAGAGGTGGAGGGAGATATAGTAATGTGTGAGTGTTATGTCCTGTGCAAAACGGAAGTGACGTCATTCGTGGAATCGATGTCATTCGAATGCTGCCTTGATTTAATTAAAGAGATTATCTTTGCAAAGGTACATGTATGCTCCGCTTTGTGGTGCGAATGTTGTATTTTGACCTATACTGACAAGAATAAATGATTGTTTGATTGAACATTTAACTGTTCGATTTTTATTCGTACAGAAAAGTCATGGCGAATTTCTCGACATGGAATCGTCCACTTTAATGCCATAAATCACAAACAGGAGTGTAAAACACTTCATAAAAATTGTGTCTGCACCTGTTTAATTAATGCATCTTAAAGTGCAAACAAAAAAGATGCTTTATTTAAAAGTCCACTGGATATAATTTCCAAAGGGTTTCAAAAGAGCTTTCTGGATTTTAGTGATATACCACGTACGGTGTACACATCGACACGTGATATGAAATAAGTTTGGTCTTTTATAATGAAATTATCCACAGAATATAGATATGTTATAACTATATAGGTAATAATTTTTTTTTTTTTTGGGGGGGGGGGGCATATGTAATAGAATATTTACATATTTCTCATGTCCATATTTGATTTAGGTTATTAAAAAACTTGGAGCATTGTCCAATTTGGAAAAAAAGGTAGAGAGAGAGGGAGAGTACGTATACTTTGCCAAAGACAATCACACAAGTGACACGTTAATTAAAAGATCTTGCTTCCTCAAGTTCACTGTTCTCTCAGAACCGAGAGGCCTAGCTCTACATAGTTATTCTTAGAATAACGTCAAGGATTGTTTTATCCTGCCAGAAAAATACGATCATTTCTCGCTGTCGCCCGTTCATTTTCTTTAATCCCGGCAGAAAAAGTGACATTTTTCATGCTGTAGAATGAAGACATACTCATTTTGTGGCTAACATCTTGTCAAAGACCCATAAAACTGACAATTTGTGTTTCTATTAAGACCTTTTCAATTATTTTTACAATATTTAAGAATATAATTTAACCATTAGCGTCAAATAAGACAACCACAAGCAGAGTGAAGAAAATGATTCATATTATCTTCAAGAAGAATTTAATTTTTCCTGGAGTGCGTACAAGGTCGAAAGTTTTTGCTTTGTATATTTTTTTTGGTCTACAAATCTGCTTGTATTAATAAGAATATTAGTGTCTCCTACCGAATAATTAAGTTTAAGGATATAAAGTGTTTTTTTTTTTTTAATTAAGGAAAATTGATACATGTAAGAGTTATTTCCCCTATTATTTACCGGTTCTTTGTAACAATACTTGAATCAGATGAAATAAATTATGCTAATTAATTCATAGACGTAAAGTAAAGTGAAAAAAAATAAATATTTCAGATTTTGATGCATCTGAAGTCTGTCATAAATATTTCTTTGCAGGTGGCAAAAGCATAAATGCCGCAGGTAAAATATCAAATAAACCAGGTTAAAGGCAGTCTCTTTGAATTGTGTCAGTTTTTTATGTACCTATAAAAAATTATCATAAAATGGAAACACATCGACTACAATATCTTTTTAAAATATGGATTAAGTATTTGTTTTTATTTACTTTAAAGTCATCGATTGTGAAAGTCCTTTCACTAATTCGGATGTGAAATTGTCCTTTTCAGCACGGCTCCTATATTTGACTTATCGGGTGAAACTGAAGTAAACTGTTCGAAAGAATGAAATATTATTAAAATGTGTGAAATATTTACATGTACAGTCATTGTCGTTTCAAAGGCCCAAACGACGATTTAGCCACATGGGGTGTACAATATTCACCGAACCTTAAGTTCTAGGTCACTGTTTTACTTCGAAAATGGCCAAATCGTCAAATTAATTACTTATTACTAAGCTTAGATCTGCATGACTTCAAAGCTTACGACATGTATTTCGAAAAGACAGGAAAAAGAAAAGTCAAAGAAAATGTGAACAACTGAAAAATTACTTACTTTTAGTTGGATATTAAATTTAACTCGTAAAACAAGATTTTCTGATGCTTCCACTCGTGCTTTGCAAAATATATATTTTTAAAAAATTTAAAAGTGGAACAAAAAAGTCCACATCCAACTAAAAAAATTGAATATCCTCTTTAAGTTTCACACCGGTCATTTTGTTCAAATTGATCATTCATCCATCTCCTTCAGAATGAAACCTATTTGTTGATGTTACTATATATTGGATATTAATACGGACGTTTCCTTCCTTGATTTGAAGGGTTTGAACTATTGTACACGGTAGGTAGGTACGTCAGTAAATACCTAAAAGAAACAAAATAGAGAGCAAGTTTCCGGGATAAGGAAAACGTTTGACATATTTAACTTGACTAACCATGCAAATGACTATGCCAAGTCTGAATAAGT